TAATTGTTAGCTAACCAGTTGTGTGTATTTCTTTGTGAAAATGAGTACCGCGGCGTACTCATTTTCACAAAGCATTTGCATCCCCTCTTGGAAAGAGGGATTCGAAATAATTAATTAATTAATCACCGTAATTTAGCTTACACTTATAAATTTAGGGAGCACTTAAAATGTGAAATAATCATTTCACTACACGACAAACTCCGAACTTTATTCATTCATTAGGCCTACATAATAGTTTCAAATTGCTGTAATATACTCCAACATCACTGGCGCATGGTAACAACCAACTGACTGCAGACCATTTCCGGTCACACATTACTCTCCATAACACAGCACCCACTAGTTCCGTCACCTCTGGATTCGGTAGATGTAGTGGTGGTAGTGTTTGCAGCGGCGGCGGTTGTGGTGATAGCAGTTGGCCAAATGACCAGGAAACTGGCAAATTAATTATAATATTGTATACTTACTCACACATACCGTCCACATAATATTTGCATTGGATACAGAAGAACCAGCATAAACTTAAGTATATTGTATTCCTAACTCTCATCCTAATCCAAAACATAACGTCTAATGATTCGATACAAATACAGCGATATGAGGAAGTAATAGAAAATACGCTTATTTCTGCTGCCAGTGTTCAGTAATCCAAAAAGAATTGGTTCATTTGTCAATGCTTTTGAACTGTACTATTGTGTTCCGTAATGCTTGGTTGCAGGCATTAAATAGCAAATACGACTGTACATACGCCTTTCTTTGGATTTTGTGTGAATGCCTTATAAGTTTTCAGGAAACTAGGTTTGATTTTACTCTTAAAGCTTTATCATAATTTAGTAGGTATAAATATAATGTCTAAACGAAACTCTTGGCGTGATTCTATATGCTGTTAGTCATTATAACGAGCGTAATGTAACACTGAAACCATTGTTAGTACTTACAGTCACTTCTAGTGGATAAATTACCTGTAATATCTTAAGGTTACTCGGTTATTTAATTGATTGCAATACGAAGATCCTGTTGGTTTTATCACGGAAATAGATAAATATTTTTAAAAATTCAATAATAGTTACTCAAATACGAAGGTGGTCAATGAAACATGGTCATGCGGGCTAAGTTGTAGATTATAGCAGAATGCTAGTATAGGCGAGTTGTATAAAGCAACTCGACAGTAGACCATTTTAATATAGGCCAGTTTATACAACTCAATTATAGGCCCTTTAACGCCAAGGAGAGAAATAACATATTTTGTCGGGGAGAGAAAAACACAATTATGAAATTTTGTTTATATCTTTTACATTTCTAAATTGTCACAGCTTCCTGGGGCTTTGCTTCTAGACCTCTTCCAGTCTCTGACAACGGGCCTAATGGATCCTTTCCACTAATCCCCTCCCTCATCTTCTTGGATATTGTTGCTAAGGTCCCATAAGACGACAGTGTTGAAACATACGCGAACACGTGCGTTTGTGGGACAACCCGTTCGCTTATTGGACAGGCGTGGATTCCAGGCACTGTTCTGATTGGTCAGTTGTTAACTTTGATTGACACTCCGGAAGGGACTATTATGCTCTGGTCAGGGACACTGTCCGTCGCAAACATTCTTCCATCCCACCCTCCATCTGGTAAATTCTTGCGCAACCACATTATAGTTCGACTGTACGGGTATACTGTTGTATTTTACCTTTAACCTTTGTGTCGTTATCGTGTGATACTTATGATTATAGTATAACAAATTGAATGTAAACGCATCTAGACGACCTCTGACCTCATGTAAATCTACTGTTCCTTTATCATACTGTATGATTATTCGTTTTCGCTCTTTATTGTCATTTCGTCTTCCTTTGTGTTTGTTGTTTGATCTTTTTACAGTTGATAAATAAAATGTAATCCTTCTTTCAAAAAATGGTACTTACTGATACTCAGGGGTGATTATGTGTATAAGGAAAAGATGGTACTAATGGTTAACTTATACTTTGATTAAAATAATCGTAACAAATAGGCCTACATTTAATAAAATTATCATACAAAACAATACGTAGAATACAAAGACTGCCTTTTATATCCTGGTAAATTCCGATTTAATTCCATGTGGTGAGAAACATGTAAATAACTCCGTCATGCCGTCAAGTGTAGCAACCGGCAATCCGACTCATCTGTAGACACAGTACGGTAAGTAAGTAAGTAACTTTATTGCTTCTCTTTTATAATAGAGGCACAGCCGTAAAATACCCTAAAGTTTATGTTAAATTAAAATAATAACAAAGGAAATACCTTTACAAATGTTTGCTTTTTATATATATATTTTTATTTAAATACAAGCAAATTTACATTTTATTATATTTACAACAGACATTTGAACTAATGAAAAAGTGTTAGCACTAATTTATTAAATTATTATACACTAAATTAATAAATTAAAAAGAAAACACTAGAATTTCATTCTTCACAGACTTGCTTTCATAATATGTTAGTATGTACAAACTATTAATTACATTATGTAGTAGGTCTATGCTTACTCACTTATTTATTAGCTATATTTTAATAGGCTTATTATACAAAAAGAAGAAAATCCGCATCACGCATTTTTTTTTAACGAATTCTTGTACCCTCACCGAACAGACTCTAATATCAAATAGGATTACTCAGTGACAGGTTCATGGGGGCTCAGCCGACCATGTCTCCTAATTTTTTTTAAATTATTTAAAACTATAAATGAAGTAAAAAATTGTTTTAAATATAAGTCTGAGAGTGAAATTTCCGGCATTCTAGAGGTTTCATAATCATAAATTATCTTACCTCAATTACACCCTCCATCTGTGAAAGTCCCGCCCTTCCCCACCCCCTCTATTTCGAATTCTTAAATCCGCCACTGTTACTGGTTCCATGCATCAATTTGTTTATATACAATTACACATCATCCCTGAAACTATTGTTACAACTGAATGTATTACAAAATTAAATACACTTTATATTGCCACGTAATTTATCAACACACAGTTGTAAAGTCAATCGCCACCGAGTCATCACGATATAAATACGCTAACACTACATTTCCATATCGTATATACACCATTATTTTTATAGGGTCTTTTCAACTTTTCACAGGACATCCAGAGCTGCAGCAGCCTAGCTTGAGCAAATTTCGTTTTTCCAGAAACATCTTCTTTTCAGTACTTCGACAGCCGAAAACACTGCAGGTTTCACGCGCCCCTATTTTTTTTTATTATATTTTGCTTTCAAAGACTAGCCTAGGGGCCTCTACAACAATCTCGTGCACCAGTCACAGAGCATGCACAAATAGACACTGGCCATGGTAACTACGCAGATCAAAATACCTAGGCCTCTGGATGCCTTCCAGTGGTGGTTGTCAGGTTCTCGGAAATTTTCATTTCAAATTTAGCGAAAATTGTGTATATACAGGTTTTGTCTTTGACGTCCGTGTTTTCTAATAATATACAATTCCTTAAATATGTCTTTTATCGCTATCTCTTGTAACGTTGTCGGTGAAATAGCTAGCACCATGCACTTGAAAAGTCCAGAGACGGCTGGTTCAACATATGACCTATAAATTTTTTTTAAAAATTGATAAATGTTCTATAGGTTCACATGCTAATTTATATTTACTTAATATGAACAATAAACATGGGGGTTTTATCTCTGTTAGTAGAGAATTGAATAAAATAAAATAAACAGTAACAACCATAATATAATAAGTTTAAATGGCGACCCTCAAAAAGAAACCTCATTGTTGAAACTAACAAGATTCTAACAGTATTACTCTTTCTATTATAATGGAAAATTATAATCCAACAATTTCATTAACGTACATTCATAACATTGTGTATAATGTTTTGTACTGTAATCTATAATTTAATTAATTAACTTATTGTGATATAATGTGCAAAAAATGTTATTTTCTGTGTAAATTAATCATTGACTTTACTTATACTTGTTTCAAAAAATGAAAACAAGTTTTGATAATGTATGTAACTGCATCTGTAAGTAAATAATTAAGTATAAAGTAACAATCACACACTAAACTTACTTTGATTCATAGTGACCATCTTACCGGACGTGTAGAAAACCGATGTAGGACACTGCCCTCTAATGTTGGAAAGAAAAAAAATCACTTTGTAAACACACACACACATACATATATATACATATGTTATATATATAGATA